GAGAAACAAGGGTGACATTAAAAGTGTGACTTAATTGTAGTTTAGTTCAAATTAAGTTGTTTTTGTTTGGGGTGGGGTGAGGGGCAGTTGATGACTTCGGTGAGGAGAACCTCCTGATTCCCAGAGAGACCACAACAGCAATAGCTCTTGCCCTACTGGCTGGGGTGTAAAACAAAATTGGGAGCATGGGTTCCAGCAGCAGGGATATCTAAGGAGTTTGCTGGGTCATCACTAATGCTGTGGCCTTTTTATCTAGGATAGTGGAAGAAAAAGCAAGATGAACAAGTATTCTTGGGTCAGGACGGTGCAAGGCAGCTTCTGACTGCCAGACAGCTTGCCTTTGGTCCCAATTCTGCAGCAGCTCTTCAAAATCCTCCTACCTCCTCAAACAGGCATTGAAAAAGGAGATAGTGCAGGCAAGTTTCATAAAGAACTAACATTTGAGAAGGGCACTAGGCAGCAAGGAAACTTGTCCAGTCCAGGAAGACAGGAGTCACAAAGGATGCTCAGAAGCCATTGAGTAGACATTTTTGTTTGCAGCAGATATTTTGAATGAGGAAGAATTGGGTGATCAGTCTGACCATATATTTAGAAGCTCTCTATTTTTGTGTGTTCAGAACAGCACATTATTATTTATTACATTTCAAATAGTCAAGGTGCATTATCTTCCTAGCGCTTGCCACTCTATTTTGTCTAGGTTTGAACAAATTATGTCTACTACAGAAAGTCTTACAAAAAGAAAAAGCTGTGTTTTCAAGGAGTGTATTCAAATATTTTTAAAATGCGGAAAACACCTTTGAGTTACCCCTCAAGAAGGTGGTGTAGGTTCACTCTTAGCTAATATTTGTGAAGAACTTATGCATGATACATGTTGTAGAATTGACAGTAGTAATAGAGCAGGGTTTTATTTGATTTAACTTGCTCATTGCAAAGAGTCATGTATAGTCTTGTTAAGGTGCTATATAGCATTTTAAGTAAAATGGTGCTGCAGAGGAGACAGGACAGACTTTCCCACGTCTCCCAAAGGCAGCCTCAGCCTGCACCAGAAGAGTGTGGGCATGAGAGGAAGACTGAACAAAAGCCATGTGCAAGATGAGCCCATTTTAAGTGAAATGGCTGTGTGGAGAGTCCCATCAGTTGGTTTGCAAATGGACAAGTCATAAACCTGCCTAATGACTTGGAAACTCAAAATTGCCCCCTTTATTTGAGAAAATGTTTAATGTTGTCCTCTCCAATGGGTACCATTAACACAGACGCTCCTCACTCCTCCACATGGGTTGCCAGTTAGGCAAGGATGTTTTCAGTAAGACCAGAGGGGAAAAGAACTCTCAGCAGGGGAAAGATCTGTACAGAGAGAGGAACACTTGCTAATTTCTCCAGCCCACCCAATCCATTGAGCCAGAGAGACTGCAGGGTGTGCAAACCACAGAGAAACTAGAATTTATCTCAGCTGTGATTGCATCTTCCAACCATTTTAATCTCTCTTTCTTTTGACACTGTATAATAATACTTTCTTCAAGGAATGTTCTTTAATCTTATAATTTGAAAACAAATTCTATTTCAGCTGTCCTTCTGGTAGGCGACCTTTAATGGTTTTGCTATAGGTAAAACTGTCATTATATTCTGCCCCCCCCCACTCAGCTTCCTGGATATCAAATTGCTCAGATACTGCAGTTTTTGTCAGTGATAATATTGCCCTTTCAAAATTTCTCTGTAAGCAGGCTGAAAGGATTCATTCAGAGCAGTGGTTTCATTAACTTATTTAAATGCATTTCTCAAACAAAACAGGTTAGTTGTTTTGAAATGTCAAGGTCTGGAAGCAGATTTGAAAATATTCTACAAAATACAATTGTCCAGGCTTTCTGGGGGAGAGACAGTGGAGACTTGTCAAAGAAGCAAACTGACATGTGGCCATGGGCTGTTCCCAAAGGCCCCAGCAGTCTCGTCCAAGGAGATCAGCAGCATTCACTCTCAGCTCTGTGGCAGGATTGGGCTCCTGCTTACAAAAAGGGCTGTGTTTTAACAAAATGGTTTTGCTGTGGATGAAAGTCAGCACTAATCTTTCTGATACAAATTGCCTCTCCCTTAAGGGAGTTGTTTGCAGGCAGATTGTTTTAGCTTTGCAAAGTTACTAGGCCCATTGGATGGGAACCCAGATGGAGTGAATTCTACTTGCTCAACTGGATAAACTGGGGTCTAGGGAGCTTCAAGTTAGAGGAAACAGAGGCACTGGACCAGGCAGAGGAAGATGAAGGAGCGTGTTGAAAACCTGCATGAAATGCGAATAGGCAATTCTAAAGTATCGGCTGGAATACGTCATTTAAGAAAGGAGTAAAACATATCTTCTTCAAACACAGCTCTTATCACTCTGGATTTTCAATCACCCAGATGTTTTGGCTTTTCTCATTCCCCTGCTAAAAAAGCAATGACTCCCTATTGTCTACTGAATAATATATAATCTTCTTAGCATGACATTCAAGACCCTCCACAATCTGGCATCAGCTTGTCTTTGAAATTGTAATTCCCATTATAACGCCCACACACAACGTACATACTCAAGTGAAATTAGATACCCCTCTGTTTCCTAACGATGCCAGGCTTTTTTACCCACCCTCATGCTTTTGTGACAGCTGGAGACCCTCTCCCCTCTTCACGCTTTTGTCAACCCCCACTGATTCTTCAAAGCCTGGCACAAATGCCTGAAAACTCACCACATATTGCAAGGAAAGTCTTTACCTTCTGATTTTTCATGACACTTGGTAAGTCTAAGACCCATATCACAATGGACTGATGATACAATGATGGAGATATACATTAAGCATTCCCTCTAGAGAACGAATGAGCTCCCCACAGGCAAGACCAGTCCTTACCCACCCACCATCTCTTTACTGCAGACCTTCGCAGCCATGCAGCCAGTCTTAGTCACCTGGGAGCTTCACGTAAATAACAATTGGCTGCAAATGGTCTGAGGCTGGGGTCTAGGCATTTTTTGCTTAGTTTGATTTTAGGGTGTTTCATTTGTTTTGTTTTGATTTTTTACCATCTGAACAATTTTTAAGTGTTTAGTTCAGTAATGTTAAGCATATTCACATGGTTGTGCAACCAATCTCCAGAACATTTTCATCTTGCAAAACTAAAACTCTATATCCATTAAACAATGACCCCATTCCCCACCTCCAGCCCACCCGCCCCAGCCACCACCATTCTATTGTCTGTCTCCATGATTTTGACTAATTTAGGTATCTCATATAAGTGGACTCATATCGATAGTATTTGTCTATTTATGGCTGCCTTATTTTACTCAACATAATATCCTCAAGGTTCATCCATGTGGTAGCATGTGACAGGATTTCTTTCCTTTAGTAAGCTAAATGACATTCCATTATAGTTATATGCTACATCTTCTTTGTTCATTCATCTGTCAGTGGACATTTGGGATGGTTTCACCCCTTGTCTACTGTGAATAATGCTGCTATAAACATGGATGTGCAAATGTCTTTTCAAGATCCTGCTTTCTGTTATTTTGGCTGTATTCCCAGAAGTGGGATTACTAGATCATACAGTAATTCTATGTTTAATTTTTGGAGCAGTCATCATACTGTTTTCCACAAAAGCCCCACCATTTTATATTTCTACCAACAGTGTATAAGGGTTCTAATTTCTTCACATCCTTGCCAAAACTTATTTTCTGTTTTAGTGCTAGTTGCCGTCCTGATGGGTGTGAGTGGTGTTTCCTTGTGGTTTTTATTTGTATTTCTCTAATGATTGGTGATGTTGAGCATCTTTTCTTGCTTATTGATCATTTGTATATTATATTTGGAGAAATGTCTATTCAAGGTCTTTGTCCATATTTAGTTACGTTATTTGGGTTTTTTAATTGTTGAATTATAAGATTTCTTTATGTATTCTATATGTCAACCCTTTATCAGATTTGCAAATACGTTCTCCCAATCTGTAGTTTGCCTTTTCACTCTGTCGGTTGTGTCATTTGATGCACAGAAGTTTTTAGCTTTGATGTATTGCCTGTGTTTTTGATGTCATATCCAAAAATTCATTGCCATACTCATTGCCATTAAGCTTTTCCCCTATGTTTTCTTCTAGGAGATTTATAGTTTTTGGTCTCATGTTTAAGTCTTTAATCCAGTTTGAGTTAATTTTTGTATATAAGATAAGAACGTTATTCTTTTGCATGTGGATATCAAGTTTCCCAACACCATTTGTTGAAAAAGCTCTTTTGCCCTTGAATGATCTTGGCACTTTTGGCAAAGATTATTTGATCATATAAACCAGGATTTATTTATGGACTCTCTATTCTATTCCATTGGTCTATGGGTCTATGTCTATCTTTAATCCAGCACCATACTGAGTTTTTGATTACTGTACCTTTGTAATAAGTTTTAAAGTTAAAGAGTGTGACCCCTCTAGCTTTGTTCATTTTAAATATTTTTGTTGTCTATTCAGGATCTTTTGAATCCATATTTATTTTAAGATAAATTTTTCTATTTCTGAAGAAAATGCCACTGGAATTTTAATGGGGAATTATGTTGAATCTATAGGTTGCTTTAAGTGGGTAAGGTATTTATTAGAAGCTCCCCAGGAGATTCCAATGCATAATCTCCACTGAAAGCCATTGATATGGTTTGGCTGTGTCCCCACCCAAATCTCAATTTGAATTGCATCTCCCAGAATTCACATGTGTTGTGGGAGGGACCTGGGGGAGGTAATTGAGTCATGGGGGGCAGCCTTTCCCAGGCTATTACCGTGATAGTGAATAAGTCTTGTGAGATCTAATGGGTTTATCAGGGGTTTCTGCTTTTGCTTCTTCCTCATTTTTCTCTTGCCACCAGCATATAAGAAGTGCCTTTCACCTCCCACCATGATTCTGAGGCCTCCCCAGCCATGTGGAACTGTAAGTCCAATTAAACCTTAGTTCATACCCAGTTTCAGGTATGTCTTTATCAGCAGTATGAAAATGAACTAATACAATAAATTGGTACCAGTAGAGTAGGACATTGGTGAAAAGATACCTGAAAATGTGGAAGTGACTTTGGAACTGGGTAACAGGCAGAGGTTGGAACAGTTTGGAGGGCTCAGAAACAGACAAGAAAATGTGGGAAATTCTGGAACCTCCTAGAGAGTTGGACGGCTCAGAAGACAGGAAAAGGTAGAAGAGTTTGGAACTTCCTAGAGACTGTTGAATGGCATTGACAAAAATGTTGATTGTGATATGAACAATAAGATCCAGACTGAGGTGGTCTTAGATGGAGATGAGGAACTTGTTGATGAGGAACTTGTTGGAAACTGGAGCAAAGGTAACTCTTATTATGTTTTAGCAAAGATACTGGTGACATTTTGTCCCTGCCCGAAAGATTTGTGGAACTTTGAACTTGAGAGAGATGATTTAGGGTATCTGGTGGACGAAATATCTAAGCAGCAAATCATTCAAAAGGTGACTTCAGTGCTGTTAAAAACATTCCATTTTAAAAGGGAAACAAAGCATAAAAGTTCAGAAAATTTTTAGCCTGATGATGCAACAGAAAAGAAAAACCCATTTTTTGAGGAGAAATTCAAGCCAGCTGCAGATTTGTGTAAGTAGCAAGGATCATAATGTTAACCCCCCAAGACCATTGAGAAAACAGTTCCAGGGTATGTCAGAGACCTTCACAGCAGCCCCTCTCATCACAGGCCTGGAGGCCCAGGAGGAAAAAGTGGTTTGTGGGCTGGTCCCAGGGTCCCTGTGCTGTATGCAGCTTAGGGACTTGATGCCCTGTGTCCCACCTGCTCCAACCATGGCTGAAAGGGGCCAAAGCTCAGGCTGTGGCTTTAAAGGATGGAAGCCCCAAGCCTTGGCAGCTTCCACAGGTTGTTGAGCCTGCCAGTGCACAGAAATGAAGAATTGGGGTTTGTGAGCCTCCACCTACATTTCAGAAGATGTTATGTAAATGCCTGGATATGCAGGCAAAAGTTTGCTGCAGGGGTGGGGCCCTCATGGAGAGCCTCTGCTAGGGCAGTGCAGAAGAGAAATGTGGGATCAGAGCCACCACACAGAGTCCCTACTGAGGCACTGCCTAGTGGAGCTGTGAGAAGAGCTACCATCGTCCAGACCCCAGAATGGTAGATCCACCAACAGCTTGCTCCATGTGCCTAGAAAAGCTGCAGACACTCAATGCCAGCCCATGAAAGCTTCCAGGAGGGAGGCTGTACCCTGCAAAGCCATAGAGGTGGAGCTGCCCAAGACTATGGGAACCCACTTCTTGCATCAGTGTGACTTAGATGTGAGACCTAAGTCAAAGGAGATAATTTTGAAGCTTTAAAATTTGACTGCCCTGCTGGATTTTAAACTTGTATGAGCCCTGTAACCCCTTTGTTTTGGCCAATGTCTCCCATTTGGAACAGCTGCATTTACCCAATACTATACTCCCATTGTATCTAGGAAGCAACTAGCTTTCTTTAGATTTTACAGGCTTATAGGTGGAAGGGACTTGCCTCGTCTCAGATGAGACTTTAGACTGTGGACTTTTGGGTTAATGCTGAAATGAGTTAAGACTTTCGGGGACTGTTGGGAAGACATGATTTGTTTTGAAATGTGAGGACATGAGATTTGTATGGGCCAGGAATGGAATGATATGGTTTGGCTGTGTCCCTACCCAAATCTCAACTTGAATTGTATATTCCAGAATTCTCATATGTTGTGGGAGGGACCCAGAGGGAGGTAATTGAATCCTGGGGGCCCGTCATTCCCATGCCATTCCCATGACAGTGAATAAGTCTCAGGAGATCTAATGGGTTTATCAGGGGTTTCTGCTTTTGCTTCTTCCTTATTTTTCTCTTGCTGCCACTGTATAATAAGTGCCTTTCTGAGGTCTCCCAAGCCATGTGGGATTGTAAGTCCAATTAAAACTCTTTTTGTTCCCAGCTTTGGGTATGTCTTCGTCAGCAGCATGAAAATGAATTAAAAGAGCCACCACTGTCTCTCTACAGTGTCTGACACAATGCCTTGAGAATGGTCATTAAATGAGAACTTGTTTAAATCGATCAGTTACTAGCATACATTTTGTAACTACTTTGGTTCATAAAGCAATACAACATTGTAAAATTAGATTTAAAAGGTAAATCGCAAACAAACACAAAAGGCCAGCAAATGAGCCGATGATCAAAAACAGCCAGGCATTGTAAAATGATGAGCCCTGAAAGTGGACCACATCTGTAACTAAGCCTCCTTCCCAAAAGAACATCCCTCACTGCAAGAAGAAAGCATGTGGGTCCAGTGAAATGAGCAAAGGGGAAGAGAGACGCTAGGTCAGAACCCAGCCTGATCATGGCCAGCTAATTCTGAACTCTCCCAGAGATTCTCGTGAACCAGACACTGGTAGAAGTGGAAGTGTCTTGTTAACCACATACAACTGGGATATTCAACCCAATATCCCCATGGATGGAATTTTCCAGATCTCTAACCTCCTACTCTACTCCCCAGGAAAAAATATGCAGCCATTCACAGTTCTGGTTTAAAAATCAATATTTTCTCTTTCTGTCTTACCAGACTGCACTTCCTCCTAGCTCACCATGCTTTCCTGCAGCTTGAAGTGATGTAAACGTTCTTTGCAGGCCTCCTTCCTTCTTGGAAGTCAGCATCCATAGAACCACAGGCAGGGAAGTGGGTGGTAGAGAGAGTGTTGCCCATGACTTCCCAGAGGAAAAATAGAGTGTGTACATATGACTATGAAAGCACTCAAAACCTCTTATAAATTGTGAAACATTCTTTTACTTCAAATGTTTACTTCTTTTATTTTTTACTTACAAAAGATTCATTTTTCACAAAAATAAAAACGAAGAGCCTACTGCTATTGTACTTAAATGTCCTGGCTTTCCACCTGTATTGACTGGGAGGGGTCCTGGAGGCTCCTGGGCTTCACATCCCTCCGGGAATACAGCTCCCTCCAAGCTGCCTTGATGGAGCAGAGCTTGCAGTTCTCAGCTGCAAGTGAGGGAGCTCTCCAGGCAAGACCAGAACCATGATGCTTAGCAATTTGATTGTCTTAAAAGAAACCCTCTTGAAAAATAGATCAGGCTCTCTTCTAAAAAGGGTATTAAGCCTTGGCTCAGAGATAAGAAAGAGACAAAGAAGGTACCTTTCTTTGGAAGTGCCCCAGCTGGGTCTTCAGCCGTCGGGAGCTTTTCTTCCGAAGATAGTGTTGAGGGAATTTTAGGAGACTAGAAGAGATAATGCTCCCTGGGCAGGAGCCATTCAGTCGCCCCAACCACAGAGCTGCAGCTTCTTCATATTAGAATGGTAACTCTGACAGTCGGCTATGTCCTGGTTGCTGTTGTAACCCTGGTCCTCATGACCTGGGCAGAAACAGGATGGAGTGTACATGGGCGAGTGTGACATAAATGCCCATAGAAGGAAAGTAGAAAGAGGGTGGGAGGGAGAAGAAGAAGAAAGGAAAGAGAAGGAGGAAGGGGAAAGAAAGAAGAAGAGGCAAGGATGAGAAGGAGAGGTATCACTGGGGCACTGCCTCTGGCACATGCAGGCTCATCTTTGGAGGGTTTGAGTTTGCTGTGGGGCGAGAGAATTCAACTGCAAGCAGGGCTGGAAAGAGAGAGTGTTCCACATATTTCTTCCTTCTGAAATATTGATAATTTTCACAAATTGCACTCCAGGCTAAATAATCAAAATCAGTGGGTGAAACCCTGAAAAACATCTCTCTCCTCTCATGCACATGAGGGAATCTGTTCTCCTTACTTACCTCCTTATCTGCTCATCCTCCATATGCAGCTCAGACTATATCTTCTCATGACAGCCCTCACTAACTACCCTGCGTTAGGCAGTGATTCCACCCGCCTCCTTCTCTGAACTTCTAGAGTATTATCAACTGTAAAATTCAGTCAGCAATGAATGAGTCATGTACTACATAGAGCTATCTATGTCATTGTTCTTGCAGAGAGCTATTAAATATAGGATGAACATATGTTCAGATTTAGCCCAGACAGTACTTGTTTATACAGGTTAGTCCAGATTAATAATTATCACCCCCTTTTACTCTCACAAGGGTCTCAGCTAGGGAAGATAAATAACACGGTCAGCCTATTTACATGTTAAATTCTGTATCATTCTAGACTCCCTAATGAGAGTCTAAAAGCTCTTTGGGGATCTCTGTCATCCTCCACACCAGTCTGGTTCCTTATACTCTGTGCCCAATAATGTTTTTATTGTGAGCATGAATCACCCTTTTTGTTTTAGAAGATGGAAAATGAACAAGTCCTAAAAGCTTGTGAACATGCTGAATATAAAGAGGGAAGTTTTCATCTTAACTTAGGCCCTTGTTGTTTTCATTGTTTAAGATTTAAAACATATCACATTCCACAACTGAAGACAAGGGCAATTCCCAGACTTACATCTGACGTTTAAAGATAATGGTGAAGGAGAAAGTGCCAGTTCAAAGGCAGACAGGGGGTTCTGCCTGTCCGGATGCCTGCAGGCTCCTCACCTTCTAGCACGTTCAGGCTGCCTATGCTGGTCACCTTGGGTTACTCAAAAATTTATTTATTTAATTTCATTCTTAGAGTAATGTAAGTGTGCTAGCAAATAAAATGAGAATTTAAATGACAAACATTCTGACAACAACAATCTAGAAAATGAAATCTCTTCTTCCTTATTGAAACATTATGTTCTCGAGGGGAAAGTGAAAAATCACCTCTTTTTGTACATCTCTGCCTTCATTTTCTTCTATTGGGAGAAATAGGGAGATGGTCCTATTATCCCCCATCTATTCATCTACTCACGGATCCATATTTATTATGCACCTGTCATGTGCAAGACATGGAGCTCTGTGTCTGAAGAGTGATAAACAGACACAGCCCCTGCCTTCAAGTAGCTCATAGTCTAAGACGCAAAAGAGATACCAAATGCTAGTGCAAACAGTTATGTAATTAATGTCTGGGTATTAAGGATTATTTCAGCAAGAGCTTAACAGAAATTCTTAACCTACACTGAAGAGTCAGAAAGGACCTCACTAAACAAGAGACATTTAGGCTGAGACCCAAAAGGTACATAGAAATTTGGGTAGGAGAAGAAAAGAGGAAGAAATTTCCAGGCAGAAGTAGCAACTGGCACAAAAAGCCCTGAGGTGGGAGTGACTTGGTAACTTTGAAAAGGAAATACATGCCAGGCTTGCTGAACAAGGTGGGTGAGACACAGAAAAGGGGAAGACTTCACCAGGACTGATTGGCCCCTTGTTCCAAAGTTTGGTTTCTTTCTTTTCTCTTTGATCAATTACCCGTATCAGTTACCAAGGTCAGCAACTAAGCAAGTAGCTGAGTAGACATCAAAATCACTGCCAGGTCTTAGGGAACTTCAGTGTGGCTTACATCATTTTGGGAAACAATGACAAGAAGTATGCTTAGTAGAACCCTGTGCCCTGTGCCCTGGCAATAACATTTTCGAAAGACAGGCACACCTAATCACCATCACTTCTAAACAAATTGCTCCACTTCTAAGTACTCCTCATT